TCTTTTATAATATCCCACCCAACAAACTCCATGTGGGGTGGGCTAGACTCCCTCATCACGTGACAGCTAGGGCTGCAGTCAGTTGTGCACACCTGCTGCCCTCATTGGAAATCCCAAATATTTCCACATAAGGCTGCCCATTATCATTCATGCACAATGCAAACAAGAAAAGCAGCCACTCAAGTTCAAGGTGCTTGTTTTGACATGCAGAGCTCTATCTGGCTTCAGATAGGGGTTACCAGCATGGCACCCAGGGGTGGGTGCCCATGCACCTATAGAGGCCTTCTCTAGCATCAACAGGGTCCCCTCTCCATGTCTTAAATTAAACATTCCATTACAGCCAATAGAAAAGGTCGTAAGGTAGGGGTGTGTGAGAGTGTGTGTGTGTGACCCACAATACATTCTCTGGTTTGCAGATGTGCACATGGTCTTTGATGTAGGGTAGGTATTTCTACCCTGGGTTTTGACCAAACTGCGGGAGGCAGTGGAAAATAGGAGTGCCTGGCGTGCTCTGGTCCATGGGGTCACGAAGAGTCGGACACGACTAAACAACAACAACAACAACAACAGCAAGGTATTGCTATTTCTGTGTTGTATGTGTGTGAGCTTGATAATGAGTGGTGTGTCGAAAGCTACTGAATCATGGCACATTCAGACTTGCTGAGGTTTACAGCTCAGCCTCTTAGTCTCTCTGGTATACTGACTCTCAAGGATTCTAGCAGATTTTGGAGATGGCGTTCTGTAACAAGGTCAAGGGATATTCATAGAAGAGCAAGAAACTGCACAGTGTTTGTGATATAGCTGAAAAACAGGATTCAAGTTGGTAACATTGAACCTCTTACACTGTACAGTACTCACCTCCTTAAACTCCATTTCTAAACATTAAAGCCCTAATAGTTTCATAACCATAACCTCCCTGTCATCAGAGTCCATTCCGTCTTCTTTTCTCCCATTACATTTACGCTTGTCTCTTCAATTTGCATTTTTCTTCTACCTTTATGCTGTGTCTTGAAAAGTGAAAGTGACATGTATCCCCCTCCAGTTTATTCAAATCACCCACATTATTAAATAATTTGCCTTCTTTATAATCCAGAAAGCCCTACATCTTATGGTTAGTACGGACTACATGTGCAGAACAATTAGCACATCCCCCTCACAATAAGCATTGCAAGAAACTATCCTATTAACTTCTTCTTCCACCACAAACTACTCCCTTCATTTCTCATTTCAGTCTGGAAAGAATTAGCCCAAGAAGCTGTCTGTAAGGATAGTAATAAGTCTGAATGCATGCAGCTGCCAGCCCTGCAAATTTAATTTAAACACATCGTTCTTATTATTTAAAGTGTTATAATTTGGACAATAATGCCCAAAGGAACTGAAATTATGGAAGATCCCCATTATTTCAAGGGTTAATTCTACAGATTCCCCAAAGAGTCACTAGAAATGTAAAAACAAGAGGCATAACAAGGGTGAGAAACATGGTACTCTTCATTGAAAATCAAGTGGCCAGTATTCCTTGTTAAATTGATTATTGCCACTACCTATTGACATTGAATTTACCCCAGGGATGACACTGGCTGATAAAGTCTTGGAGGCAGTGAGTGATATTCTATTGCAAAAATCACCAAGACAATGACATTACATGGATTTCTCCTGGGACAATTGTAGGAGTGAATAGCCTGCTCTTGAGTTGCACAGATGATTGAAAAATGCAAGAGGCAAACTAGCCCTATGTTTTGAAGCCAGAGTGCACGGAAACGCTGTTTATCTTTCCGCCACAGCGGTACCTATTTATCTATTCACGCTGGTATGCTTTCAAACTGCTAGGTTGGCAGAAGCTGGGACAGAGTAACAGGAGCTGACCCCCTCGCATGGATTCGAACCACTGACCTTCCGATCAAGCCAAAGAGGCTCAGTGGTTTAGACCACTGCACCACCCACATCCTTATCTGCACAAGCAAGATAATTTAACAACATGCTTAGCAACTTCTCTTGGGGAAGCAGGGTGTTCCAAAGATGCAGGCCCATCTTGGAAAATGGTCTTGTTTTCACCTCCCCAAAGATGAAAGCAGGGAGAGTTAATCTGAAAGGTTATGAAATCCCAGGGTGTGGATGGCTTTATAAATTATACTATCCCCATCCCTGAATCTGTGATAGAAGTATCTGCTTATACAAAACATATTTGCCAGTCACTGCAGAGATATACTGTACCCAGATTAACTCAAGGATGCTTCTTGTCACAGATGTTCCATGTGAACATTTCAGCACTACCGCAAGCGAGTCCGACCAGTTACAGCTGCTTCTAGACAGAAGTATATATTCCACTTCTCTGGAGAAGGAGCAGGTCTTCCAACCTGAGGCCTGGAATTCTTAAGAAGATTTTGGAAAGGTGAGAATACTTTCTCTGTAGTTTCTCTGTAGTATATGTGCCATAAGAAAAACTTCTTCTTTGGCTTCTTTGCACAACAATTTTTAAATCTTGAAAGTGCCTCATATACACGATATAATTAACCTTACAATAACTGGTAAGATAAACCAGTTATATTATCCTCATTATGCAGATGAGAGACTGAGGCTGAGAGACAGGAGCTTGACAAAGCCTACCTAGTGAGTTCATGGTTGAGATTTGAACCAGGGGCCTCCCAGCTGACACTCTAGGAATCAAATTCAGTCGCCTATGCAAGCTGTTGGGTGAAAACTGTGGCCCACATCAGAGCACATGCCATCTGGACTGCTCCCTCTCCCTTCTACCACCAACTGCCCTGCAGGAATGTTTCCATGAAAGAAAGAGAGGAGTTGGGGGAAGGAGGCAGGCATCCAGCTGGATGACCGCTATGGCGAGGGAGGTGCTTGGCAGAAGAACAATCCTATATATGGAAAGGGGTGGAAAGGATGTGAAGGGTGACTGGGTTCATGCTCCTAGCCACTAGACTTGGCTCTCAATTAATTTACTTAAACTGATATAAATTAACAACTGATCTTCAAAAATGTTCCACTGCTACAAGGTCCATTTCTAAACTGCCAGGGGGACTGAGATGATATGAGGAATAGAAATGTCACACACACAAAAACCACAAATAAGATTGAGTCTTGGATGAACATGATCACAGTTTTGAAACTCAGAGGGTAAACTGATAGCAACTTAAATAGATTAACCAGACTGTAGGGATTTTGGGAGGCTATTTATTGTAGTATTATTTAACATTTTTACCCAACAGTGTGCATTACAGTCTATCTTGTTCATTGTCATAACTAACTCCTGCAGCATGTCATTTTTTCTCTAATTTGACAGATGGGCTGAGGCTGAAAGATAGCAACATGCCCAAGGCCAGTCAATTAGTACATAGCTGTGTTAAGATTTGTATCCAGGCCCTCTCTAGATGCACCTGCCAGATGAAACAAAGTTAAGGTATGAGTATCTGAATTTGCTTACAGTCACCCCTCCTTTCTGTGCTACTGTCATTTCTGCTCTCTCCTTTGGCTAAACTTGACTTTCTTTCTCCTTACCCTCCTCTGCTGTATCCCGTTGCTGAAATTTAAATTGTAATCGCCTCAGGGCAGGGACCTGCACATTTTTGTTAAATGGGTTCTCATTTTCTGTCGAGTGCCATCTTCTGTCATGCTGCAAACCTAACAATAACACTAATAATACAATAATACAAACTCACATGAAGTCCAATATTCTAAGAAGAGTATGGGTACTAATAAAAAAAACCCTAACTGTACCGTATATTTCATATTTCACAATGTTTCTAATCTATGGTTACCATCTCCTGAAATCAAAACATCTGCTGTCTGGGGTGGAGCCCAAAGCTAGTGCTTTGTGGAGGCCAGTTGATTTTGCCACATGAAGAACAGAGCCATGGCCAAAAGCTATCTATTCACAAAATGTCTATACTGTATAGCAGGTGCAGCAAAACTGTGGCCATCCAAATACTGTTGGACTACAGCTTCCCATCATCCCTGATCATTGGCCATTTTGACTGGGGCTGATGGGAGTTGAAGCCCAACAACATCTGGAAGCTAGCTGTTCCTGCCATATACCTTTAAAATGAATTGGGGTAGTGGTAGGAAGAGCTGTATCTTGGCAATAAGACTGAAAACAAAAGAAGCAAAATAACTAGTCAGGCTTTTCCCAGTCAGATGCAATCCCTATGATAAACATAGGGCACAAAGCCCCCCAAAGTTCTTAAACCCCTTCTCTCCAGTGTTTAGCATTCAGTAATACAGTATAATGCTGCAAAGCAGCATGCATTCCAGAAATGTATTATATCAGGGGTTGCCAATATGGTGACCGCGGGCACAAAGGTGCCCTTGAGGTCTTCCCCTGGTGCTCACAAAGCCACTGATCCTCCCTTGGAAGAAAATGCAATTACTTTTTCTCCCCTGTAAAATCCATACAGCTGAAGGGGAAAGTTGGAAGAGATGACATTCTTCTGCCCAGTTTCCAGGACTCTTTGGGGAACACATGACTGTTAAAAGTGATATAGCGGTGCTTTAAGTGTATGGTGCCTCCAATCCCTACCCCGGGAATGCTGGAGCCTCAGCAGCTGCCCAAAGGATCTGACCTCTGTGGACACTGGCCCCAGCAGCCCTATCCCTTATTACGAAAGTATGATGCTATCAGTCAAAAATTGCAATGCAGGGGTGTGTGGACTAGATGACTCTTTGGCTCTTCCAACCGCACAGTTCTTTGGTTCCTATTTCGGATAAGCTGCACACCTTGCTGCGATCTGGAAACCTGCAAACTTCCACTCCTAAAATCACAGCAATGTCTCAATAAGCAGCGAAAGGTTATATCGTGCTGCAACCCTATGCTCTCGCTTCCCAGATTGACAAGGAAAAGGGAAAAGCAGCTGCGACTCGTCCCCGCTGCAGCCCAGCGCAGCCCCTTCGGAAACTACAGCTTCCATCAGCCCCTTCTCCCGCCAGCTGGGAGAGGCAGCCGTTCCTCCCTGCTCCCCCTTCCCCTTAACCCAGCCCAGCTCGGCCCACCCGAGCGCGCCGCCACTTCCCCCTTCTTCTCGCTGCCTTCGGAAGCAACGGCACCGGGCGCGCCGTCTCCCTGTGCGCGGGGCTTATTGGGAATTGTAGTCCGCGATGTCCACTCGGGCACTTCTCGGGAGAACGGCCGGGGACTACATTTCCCACTTACCTGAGCCGGAGGAAAACGGAGGTTTCTCGCCTGACTCTGCGGTGGCTGCGGCCTTGCGTTGAGGGAGGGAGAAGGGAAGGGGTGGGGGGCGGCCAGGCCCCGGCTGAGGCCCGGAGCTGGCGGGGGAGCAGCAGCCACAGCAGAGGCGGATCGGGGGGGCTATGGACCCCGCCGAGGCGGTGGTGCAGGAGAAGGCCCTCAAGTTCATGGTGAGGAGGGAAAGAACGGGGAGAGGATGGGGGGGATGCGGTGGGGGGGGCGAGTTGGTGATGACTGTTGCTGGTTGCTGTGGTAGGAAGAGGAGGGGATGGCGGGCGTGGGGGGGGGGGAGGAATAATCGGAAAGGGAAGCTTTATGGCGAAAGGGAGAGCGGAGGCTGTGGTGTATATGGAACCCGCTGGCAACCCCAGAATATCTGCGAAATGGGTTTAGGTAACTGGGAGGACCAGGGAAGGCATACATTTTGAGAGCTGAGGATTCTGCGGGATGTATGGGGAGGAAAGAGGGGCAGGCCAGTCATACCTTTCCTTTTCGGGGTGGGTCTTTTGGTGTGTGTGTGTGTTGTTGTTTTTTAAGGTGTGAGCTTCTGTTATGTGGGGTTGATATCGAAAGAGAGAGGATGCTTTAAAAAAACAAACAAACCCGAGGGATTAGGGTAACGGAGGCCTTAAGAATGCGGCTGAATTTTTGAGGAGAGGAAAGATTGTGAGGCTTGGGGACCCACTTAAGGAACGCTGAAAGGAAGGCCTGTATAGAGGGACTGATGGAAAAGATGGAGGGTTTAGGAAAGCTGGACCAGATTGGGGGTTTTTTGTTTCTTTTTTAAGGGATGGTGGTAGATGGGCACCTAGGTGTTCTTAAAGAGGCCTGGAGTAGGCATACTGTTTTGGTTTCAAAGGCAGACTTTGCTAGCAAGGTTAGCTATGTTGGGTCACTTTTGAAGAATGCAGGTCTTCTCACAAAAGTATGCAGTAAGCTGGGAGGTAGTGGGAAGGGTCCTGGAGAATTCAGTTTCCAAAGTGAATTATTACATGAAGTAAATTGAGTGCCAGAGGGTTTGAAACATTACATTGCAGTAAAGGTGGGGCCTGTTTATGGGAGGGATTTCAAACTAACTCTGTTTCTACTATACAGTTGAAAGGTGACCAAGCATTACCCATTTAGGCCTGGTAGGTTTATATTAAGATCAGGTGACTGCTTATTATTTTATAGTGGTTTAATCTTGTCAGATATACAAGGGAGTTTATGACTTCTATATAGAATTAGTGCATCATGGTGTCATCTTATAGCAAAGGCAGAAATGAAGGCTTTCTTTCCCCAGCTCTACTGGGGTCAGGGGGCCTTTCTAGAGACCATCTATCCTTTTCAGCCTCTGAAGAGGAACAGCAGCACAAGGATTAGGAAGGAAACACAAAGTTATCAAACTAATACTTATCTAGACTAGAATTTTACCATATTGCCTAGATACTACAGTTTGGAATGCCAAGTCAGGAAAGATTCCAGCTAAGCTGTTTTTGAACTTCAATGTGCAAGAGTATTGTCATAGTGTACACAAAAAAGATGTGGGGCTGGTAGTCTACCACACACAGAATCATAGAACTGTAAGTGGAGAGGGGCCACATAGGTCACCTAGTCCAGCTCCCTGCAATGCAGGATTCTTTTGCCCAACATGGGGCTTGAACCCATGACCCATAAGAGTCTCATGTAAAAGCTTTGTGCTGCAAATGCCAACACATGCTGCTTCAGGCAGCTTTGACCCTTAAGAGACAAACCAAGGTGGTGGCTGACATCATCTTGCATGATGCGTTTCACAAGGCTTTGTAGTGGTTTCATAGATCTGTCCAAAGCAGAACCCCCAGATAGTAGAGAACTCATCCCTTCAGTTGGATGACTGCTTGGCTCCATGCAAGCAACACATGAAGGTCCATTTTTCATAGCACTTTAAGTAGGCAAGTTGAAGGCAAGACATGGAATATTGGTTTTTCCCCCTCCTAGATATGCCAGGAAATATTTCCCCCTCACATCCATTATTTTTTGAAATTCTTCATTCCTCTTGGGGGACAATGAAGTCAGCATATGCTCAGAGGTACTCAGCCCTAGGGTCAATAATGTTTACTTACAAAAGATGGCACAGCTCATAAGTGCCGACTGAGTATTTCTTTTGCTGTGGGAAGGCGGGACCTCCATGCGATCTGGCTTAGGGTGCTGTAAAATGTCTGGGCGGAACTGGATTGTTTTGAAAAACAATACTTTCTGCAATTCGCAAAATTCTCTCAGTTCTTCAATTTTTCTAAAAGTAAAGCTTTAATTGCTTGATTATTATTTGAGAATAATTGATAACCAGTGGCTAATCTATTTAATATTTATTCATTTACTAAAGAATATTATCTACAGCTACCATTTGGTACTTGACATAAGAAGCATTTGGTTGCTCACCATACAGAATATCTTGATTCACAACATACTGTCATTGCAGTTTTGTGCCATCAACTGCTACACATGACTTGCTTTACCTCTGGAACAGTATTTATGTGATTGGATTTATAGGGGACTATGATGCGATTTCTTGTCATCTGATTGCACTCTTGGTCTTCTTTTAACATCTACTTTCAATAATAATTAGAAAAAGCACTTCTTATTCAGCTGGCTGGAGAGCAGGCAACAAAGGGTTAACACCAACAGAAAGCAGGGGTAGCAAAACCTGACTTCTCATCTGTAGGAGAGAACCTTCTCAGTTTCAGGTCTGTGGTGGTTCTGCTTTTGAAAAGAGAGAAGGGTCTCTTTGCTATTCCCAAGTTACAGCTGGGAGCACAGCCAATTCCTTCCCCCTCCCCTTCCCTCAAAGCAGCAGTATTTCCCCTCTCTCCTTCACCCTAGTGCCCCACCCAAATCATACAGAACAGGCTTCTCCTGCTGGATGTCTCTGAACACAAGAGGTGGTTTTTGGGGACCCTGGTTCTTCTTATCCTTCATTAATGGGGAAGAAATTCTCCAACAATTTTTCATTTGGTCAGTGACTATGGACGTTGTGACTATCTCTGCCAATCACTCAGAGTGAGCAAATGTAGGAGGGGATAATAGATTCTTCCAACTCTGAGACCAGCTCCTCTTTTGGGCTCACATTCTTGTTCATAATCAATGGGATGTGGAAGGAGCAGGTGCAGATGGTGACCTACTCATGAGCATTGCCACAAGTCAGTCCCCAATTGGGACCCCAAGTTGGTGTGATCTAGCTGGAACAGGGATGCTCCCATTGTTTCCCCTGGCCCCGTTAGACCCCAGTTCTAACATGTTGCCCCAGGGCATTCTCTCACAGTCTCTTAAGGCAGTGTTTCCCAACCGGTGTTCCGCGGCACACTGGTGTGCCGTGAGACCTTGCCTGGTGTGCCGTGGGAGGGAGGCGGGAGAGGCGGCGGCGGCATCTCCTGCTGGATGCAAATCCAAACATGGCGGGCGCCTCCCTCGCTCCTTTGTAGGCGGACCATCGAGAGAGAAAGAAAAGGAGGCGAAAGAGCGAGAGAAGGCGCCTGCGCGGAAAGAGGAGCGAGCAGTGCGTCTGCGCGCTGCGGCGCCCGAGATCGCTTCTCCCCACTGCCCCTTGCTTCAAAAGAGGTCCGGGGACAGCGGGAAGCGCTTCGCGCTGCCCCCGGACCTCTTTTGAAGCAAGGCTTTGCGGGGAGAAGCGATCTCCCCGCAGCCCCTTGCTTCAAAAGAGGTCCGGGGGCAGCGGGAAGCGCAGCGCTTCTTCCCCGCCGCCCCCGGACCTCTTTTGAAGCAAGGGGCTGCGGGGAGATCGCTTCTCCCGGTGCTCCGAAGCGGGGCGGGGGGGCGGGAACACCTGCCCCAGCCGCCCCGCTTCGGAACGCTGCTCCGAAGCGGGGCGGGGGGGCGGGAACACCTGCTCCGAAGCGGGGCGGTGGGGCGGGAACCTCGCACCCCGCCGCCGGGCATCGGAACGATGCCCCGATGCCGGGCGGTGGGGCGGGAACCTCTCCCCCCGCCGCCGGGCATCGGAACGATGCCCCGATGCCGGGCGGTGGGGCGGGAACCTCTCCCCCCGCCGCCCGGCATCGGAACGATGCCCCGATGCCGGGCGGTGGGGCGGGAACCTCGCACCCCGCCGCCGGGCATCGGAACGAGGTCCTGGACCTCTTCTGAAGGCAGGCGGGGGCAAAAGTCTTTGCTCCCCCCGCCTGCCTTCCCGGGACAGCGGAGACTTCTCCGCTGCCCCGGGCGATCTTAAAATGCTGGCGGGCGGGAGCGAAGCGTTCGCTGCCGACCCCCAGCATTTTAAAATCTCCTCGGGGCAGCGGAGACTTCGCTCCCGCCCGCCAGCATTTTAAAATCGCCCCGGGACAGCAGGGGCTTTTAAAATGCTGGTGGTCGGCAGCAAAGCCCTCCTGTCCCCGGAGCTTGCGGGGCGGGAGGTGGGAAGAAGGGCTTTTCTTCCCACTGCCAGCCTTCAGAACAGCCTTCTGAAGGCTGGCAGTGGGAAGAAAAGCCCTTGCCCCCCCCCCCCCCCCAGCCTTCAGAAGAGGTCGGGGGACAGACTGTCCCCGGACCTGGTCTGAAGGCGGTTTCCCTAGGAACGCATTAATTGATTTTCAATGCATTCCTATGGGAAACCGTGCATCGCAAGACGAAAAACTCGCAAGACGAAGAGACTTGCGGAACGAATTAATTTCGTCTTGCGAGGCACCAATGTACTTTTTATATAGTCAATATAGGCACAGAGTTAAATTTTTTAACATTTTCTAATGGTGGTGTGCCTCGAGATTTTTTTCATGAAAGAAGTGTGCCTTTGCCCAAAAAAGGTTGGGAAACACTGTCTTAAGGCTCTGGGAACTGGTGTGCTTTGGGTTTCCTTTGGGTGGGTGGATAATCCCCTTCCAGCTTTCCCTTTTACTCTAGACCTGATGATATGTATGTCAGCTTCTTTTAAGAAAGAGGGTGGTGAATAAGTTACCCCCTTACTCTCTACTTTCTTGCCTGTTAAACAGAAGGGGGCCTTGAATTTCATCTGTGTTGGCCCATAAATTGGACATAGCCTTGACAGTATTTTTAGAACACTGAAATGGAGAACAATCTTCAGATTCAGCTAGAAGAGAATAGCTGTAGTGAGGTGAAGAGTTATGCTTAGTTCAACCTTCTTTTTACTTTCCTCTTAAGCCTAGCTGACTTTGCTGAAGAGTAACAACACCCATTCAAG